AATCACGCCGTTCCACTTTTCAACGTCTACTCCGACGTGCGCATTAAAATCGCCCATCAGTATGAGGGACGTTGTATTCGGCACTTCAGACAGAGCACACTGTACTTCCTCTAGGAAGGTCTTATATTCTTCCTCCAAATTGGGCGTATAGATCTCTACCAAGGTCAACGCTTTAGCATGTTGTAGCTTCAGTCAGAGGTTTACCACCTTTCCGCTGACAGGCTTCCAATCAATGATATCCCGGCCTGAGCACGCGTCGTGATATTGGCACCTGAGTAGAATGGTTTCCACCTGCAGAGTTGCAGGATTCCAAAGCCTTGTCGTTTTGTTTTCGACAGCCAAACAATGTTGAGTTGGTATTTTATGGCCTCATCAACTAACTCTTGTTCTTTCTCTGAGTGAGGATAAGTTCCAATTTCCGACTGTAAGCTCCCTCTCTTAGTGCCGTTCTCGTGGAGCCTTTTCTGACGTGCTTTAATGGCATCGTGCTGTCTGGCTCCTCTGTTCAAAAGTTGTAGCGACTCCGTTGCTGACTGGTATCTTCGTCGTCGTTCCATGGATGTTCTTCAGCCGTTGCCGTGCTGCTACTCCCACGTGTGCCAGAAGACGATGATCAGGTTCTGATCGCCGACTTCACAGCCTGACTCTGTCCTCCAGCAGCATGCGCGACCCTTGGTAACCCGGGCGTCGACCGAGCTGGTATAATGCTCGATGACGTCAATGCCATGTAGTGCAGATGGCTAAGTTTTGCGGAGACTTTGCCACGGTCTCTAACCCTCCTCTTTTCTCATCCCGGCTTGGGATCGGCATCGGCGGAGTTTGCGTTTTTTTTCTGCTAAGTCATACCATATATTTCATCTTTAGCTTATGCAGATTGTCCATTAATTTTTTTCGACTCTTCGTGTGCTATTACTGTACGGTGAGTAGATAGAATAAACGTAGTCGGTACTGTTTTATATTACAATTAATTCAAATAGTAAATGTTTTGATTATGATTCAACGGCTAGCGATGAATTGTTTAACATAACTCATTTATTGGTGTTAAAGACATCTGGTTTCAGGTTTCTCTTTTGTTTGCCGATCTCACTCGAATCCTGAATAGTCAGTGCGATGCGAAACAGTGATGATGTTCACAATCTTCCGTAACTTCAGAGGACGTTACTTTAGACGTGAAAAGTTTGTTTTTTTGTTTTGCATTTTGATATTGGTGTGTTGCCAGCTGTTTGGTTCGCTAACAAACATCTACTGCGAGTGTCTGCAGCTTCTGCAGGTGTTCTCCTGCCAAAGTGAGAATTTATTGCCGAACGATTTCAACTTCTCGATTCGTGCTGTCAGAGAGCCATCGCCATGTCAAAACCTGATGATCGACTATGTGGCTTTCACGCCTATTTTGCCGTCCGACTTAAGTCGTCGCTCTTTTATCAGAAATACATGGGCGAAACAGCTACTGAACAACGAAAAGAGCAAATTTTTTTTCGTTCTGGCCATGGAAAAGGACGTGGAGCTGAAGCAGTCAGAGCTCAGCAGCAACAATGATCTGCTAATATTGGATGTTGTCGAACATTACCATAACCTGACGCTGAAAATTTTTGGCGCTTTTGACTGGATCAGCCGGAAGTGTCGCCAGGCAAAGTTCGTTGTCCGAGCGGATAGTGACATTGTGCTGTCGAAGGCAGCCCTGGAACGCTTCATCAAACGGCATCGACACGCCCGAGACTCTATCTTCGGCTACTGCAGGAGCTTCGACTGTGTCATGCGTGTACCGTTTTCCAAACACTGCATCTCTCCGAAGTTGTACGCTAAGCCGATATTTCCATCATACTGTTTCGGCTTCAGTTACGTGATTTCGTATGACGTAATTCCGAAAATCTTAGGCGCCTGGCCCCTGAAGCAGTACTTCAATTTGGACGACGTTTTCGTGACCGGCATAATCCCGGAGATGATTGGCGGCATACATAGGATCGATCAACGAAATCTGTTCGATTACACCATCTACTTTGATACGCGTGGCTGTGCCGATGAGCCAGTTGCGTCTGCTGCTTACGGATCAACGAAAGCGAACCTCCTGAGATGGCATAATTTTAACAGTCAGTGCCACTTCAGCAACGCAACTTAGCTTCATTACTAAGCATCGGCTGCGCATCTGCGCTGTCATTGTCAACGATATTGAACATTTAAATTTTGTTGCGTCGTTCATGGCACTTTGGCTAATTCGATCTACGGTATAGGTGAGTCGTTGGGAGTCTAAATTTTCTTATACCCACTTTTTAGTAATCTCATTGATCTTCCTGATCGAAGTTTTCCGCAGTTTTGTCGTTTATCCATGAAACTTGCGCAAACGTTTCATGCATGAACAATTCGGATTTACTTTAACAAACCCAAGATTGGTTCATACGCAGGAGATGCGTTCAACAGTGAAGTAGCAACACGTCGAAAAGTTTTGAAACGTCAGCTGATCCGCATGATATATAACGAAGTAGTCAAAGCTAGTTTTGTTTCTAGTTTATCAGATTGATTCTTTACATAATCGCCTATGGCTTAGTTAATTTTGTTTTTGAAGATAACCATTTTCTGTTTTAACGCAATGGTGTAGAAAGCGATACCTTCATCTAGAAAAAAACCTGTGAAAGAAGGTCAGTGCATCAAGTGTGCTCTGACTCCATTCTGTAAATTGTACTTAATTATGCAATTTCAGATGTGCTGTCCATAATCCATCCTCAGTGTCTTAGAAAGTGGACAACTGCCAAAATGTGGGATTACTGCAGGAAGAAATACGGCAAAACGAATGTGGCGGCGTCAAACACTTGCTTCATACCTTTATTACTTTTCTATTGTTTATTTTATGCTGTGTATAGCACATTTTTGTACGTATTGCTATTCTTCTACTGCAATTTCATGTCACAACGGACAGTCTTCTTGCACATTGATCCTCATTCACTTCAAAAAATGTCTGCTTCATTGGCTGGTGGGTATTGTTCAGATATGTAAATCTGAGGATATCGATCAGCTTGCACATCTACGTCTGGGTTACACAAAGCCATCTCCAGCAATGATTCATCCATAAAAGATGCTACTATTTTTAATCTTCCAAACAAAGTACCATTCAATCACCAGCAAATAGGACTGGTTCAAGGCATCAAACAAAACAACTGTTAATCGGGTTCGTTAATGCCGTCGACCGTGAATCAACAAAACAGCTACATGAGGTATCCGTCACATGTAAATTTATGGTATGCAGAATGCTGTTGTCTACTGTAGTATATCTGAATTGAGCTAGAGCCTAATCAACGAGATATAGACACGATTTCAGTTACCTCCCCCTAATTAGAACCCGGTTTAATGTTGTGTTCGGTTGTACACAGCTATAGCAGCATCGAGCTAAAAATCGGTTTTGTATTTAACTTAGGAATATACCAGTCAGAGAATCGGAAGTTTAGCCACGGTCGCTTCAAACTACACTTCTGCCAAAGACTTTCGGAAATGTCCAGATCAGAAATTTTGTTCTTTATTCCTGTTGTAGCTGACAAAGTACAAAACCATCTGCACTTGGTCAGACAGACATAGTGCCATGTTAAGGTGCAAGTCGACAGTTACGATGTCACAGGTGATGACGGAATAACGGCATGTCATTCATCGCGGACAGGACTACGAGTTCTTCTTTCTTGTAGGCAACGAAAGCAGACGAGACAGCCAATAACCAAAGGTCGATCTGGCTACCTTATGGGTGCTCAGGTGAAGAAAGATTTCCGGATCGGCTTGAGCAGCATCAATAATACGTGTTGAAAGCTTGTACTCGCCGTAGACACAGACAGTGCTGAATGCGGCATTAGCGACCAACAGCCACGGAAGGATGGATCCAACTGGTCTTATTTTTGACCAGACAAAGCGCGACCATCGCGAAAAGTTACGCATTCGAGGAAGATTGTACAAATCACAGTAGGACACAATAAACAGGCAACTGAGCGGCCCAGTAACCATGGGAAAAGCGATGCCACAAACAGTGTTGATGGCCAACTGACGCAGCTCCAAACACACCGGGCACAGCGAACTGACACTGCCGGACTCGGAAGCCAGCGTGGTGACCATAGGTCGAAAAACTAAATAGTAGTGACCGATGGTACTGAACATGGTCGACAGTGCATAAGCGGTGACCGCACCTTGAATGCGTGCCAGTCGACCGAGGAGAAACTCCTTCCGCAACACGTGCCCAATAGCCAAAGCCGAGACTCCAGTACAGGAGTTTACAGTAATTATCGCTGCGTACACCAAGCGACGTTCTAAAGCAAACGGCCAGTTCCAAATAAGCTGCGTAAATACGTCGTCTTGTGCACTGCGGTCCAGTACTCGCAGAGTCTCTTTTAAACCCTGAGCGGGCAAGTTACGTGACTGCTCATCATTCGTTAGGGTCTTGTCAGCGGACCGGTCCGTCTGCGCAGACCAAAGCTGAACCGGTTCCATTATGACTAGATCAAAACGGATAGAACAAATGAATGTTCAAACCACGCACTTCACGGACCGAAAAGAACCGCTGCAATTTTTATCGCAGCACTAATATACGAAAACGGGGGCCAGAACGATGGAACATTTTCTTGGAAAGCAAAAAGAAAAAAAGCAGCAAATTACAACTGAAATTTCACTTCAAAATCTGTTTATTTTAGGATCTTCTCAGTTATTGGTATTTAGATGCGACAGCTTAAAGAGAAATATCTACGACATCACGCGGAACACTACAAAGAGTAAAAGGTACATCAAACTGCGCTTTCTCACAATTAGCAGTTCGTTCTGTATACTGTACTCAATACGCGATTTTCATGTTAAGCGTAAATCATAATGGAGATTCATATTAATGTTTTCTTAAAATAATCCTAAAAATACTTGGAGCTTCGCTATCGAAATCAGTAAAAACAAAATTTTTTAGTATTAAAATTTAAGTGTTTTATAGTAAATTAAAACGAAGGAAATAAAGTAGTCTTACAAATCTGATTGCTTGCTGCTACTCTGAGTAAGCGATACTGGCGACGGCCTTCCCCCGTTAACTAATACGGAGTTAATAACTGAAACGAATATAAACTTG